CGGGTCTGGGCTGGGGGGGGCGGGGGGTGCACTCACCTTGCGGGAGGGTCTGGAGGGGCCCTGAGGCTTGGCTGGGCTGCAGGCTGACCAGCCCCTGTCTCTGCAGATTGAGCAGGTGCTGCTGCTGCAACTGTTGCATTTGCAGGAGCTGCTGCTGGAAGGCCAGCTGCTTGTTCCCCAGTGCCTGGTGGGGGGCCCGAGGGGGCGGGCAGAGAGGGGTGCCATCAGCCTCGGGCACGCCCTCTGGCCCCCACCCTGCAGCCACCCCCTCCCAGGGCCTGTCAGCCCCCGGAGCTGTCGTAGTGGTGTCCGCGGCTGCAGCCTCTCTGCTCCCGGCCCAGCTTCCATAGGGCTGCATGCCTCCTCGCAGTAAACACACACACGCACGCACGCACGCACGCACGCGCGCGCACGCACACCCGCGCGCGCCCGCGCGCAAACACACACAGCGGACCCAGACGCTCAGCACGACGCCCTCCTGCTCCCGCCCCCCTTCTTCCGCTGCCTCAGCTCCCCGCACCGCAGCTGTGCTCGCCTGGAAAGGAGGGGGGCTCTCATCACAATGATCGATGAGCCTGTCAGACTCCGGGGGCCACTCCCGCCTGGCGGGCACCCTTCCCACATGCCTGGGTGCCCCCCTTCTGCGCTGAGGAGGGGGCCTACCCCCTCCAGCTCCTCTCCTGCTTCTTAGATACAGGGAATCAAAGAGTCTGACGGGACCTTAAAAGATCAGCATCAGCTGGTCATCGGGACCCAGGCCTGGGGGAGAGTCACAGCTCTCCTGTTCAGGCGCACACTTGCTCACTTGCTCGCTGTAGGTCTGGAGCTCTGCTCTCTCCCTGTCTCCCCCCTTCCCACACCATTCAGTTCTTCACACAGGCACTGACAAGTCAGCCCGTCAGCAAGTCTTTTCTGAGCCCCAGGAGCCAAGCCTGTCCTGGGTGCTCGGGAGGCAGGGACGTAGCTGGCTGCCTGCCTGCCCTGGGGGTGGGGGGTGGGGGGCTGGCTATTCAATAAAGCCAGCCTAGAGATAATGCAGGGAATGCAACAATGACAAGACCTTGAGGGGGAGGCTGAGGGCGTTGGGAAATGACTGGGCGTCAGCAGGGCAGTCTTCTGGGAAGAGGCAACTCAGGACTTGGCTGTGGTTTGGCCAGCAGGAGGGAGGCACATGTCTGGGACATGGAGGGGGAGCCCAGGGCCCTGGTATGGAAGCTCAGGAGGCACTGTGGCCCAGGTGAGGCCGGGGATGTAGGCTGGGGAGTTCTCTGGAGGGGAAGGGCAGGATATTACAAGAAGTGGCAGAGGTTGGGGCAGAGTTGGGGGGAGCAGTGCAAGTGGTTTGCTGAGGGACTAGCAAACAGCGGGGGCAGGGGGAAGGGCGCTGAGGTGCTAAGTCACTAAGAGGCAAGTGGGCAGGAAAGGGCCAGACAAGGCAGCTGGTCATGAGCAAGGGCCACCAGATGCCCGTTCCCATTAATCCGACAACACGAGGCAAGGAGAGAAGGACAGTGGGGATGAGGGCACAGAGAACTGTGTGCTGTGCCCCCCCCCCCCCCCCCCCCCCCCCCCCCCCCCCCCCCCGTTCCCATTCCCCCTCTGCCCCATGATTCCCTCCCAGCACTTCCTGATCTGTCTTCTATTCCCACAAGGCAATTCTCTCCTGGCCACTGTGGGATGCCCAGCCTCTGGCCAGGAGAGGACTGGGGCAGCGGTCCTTTGAGGGGGCACATCAGGCCTGTCCAAGCCCCTTACCTCTTTGGGTTGCTGCTTCCCAGCCTGCTGTTGGGTGAGGAGCTGTAAGTGGAGCTGCTCTTGCTGCTTCTTATAGTATTCCTGCAGCTGGGTGGGAGGTGGAGAGGGGCGGGGTGGGGGGAGTGGGTTACCGTGTGCCGGGGACTGCGGACCCCAGAACAACCCCAGCCCTGTCGTTATGGGGCTCCTGGAGGCAGAAGTAGGGAAGTCTCACTGGGGTGGTGAAAGAGACACCCTGCGGGGAGATGCCTGCTCTCCTCAGTCTGCTCTGAGGGTCCCCAGTAGGGCCTGGATGGGGAAGGAGTGGAGAAGGGAGAGGGGGCTTCACCCCACAGCTCTGAGCCCTCTCCTGCCTCTCTTTGGGTCTCCTGAATACATCACGACGAGGTGCCAGGATGTTCCAGTGCTTTGCCCTTCCCTGGGGTTCTGGATACAGAGGTGGGGCCGGCAAGAGGGGGAGCATGGGGGTGCTGCTGTGGAAGAGGCCTGACCCCTGACCTTTCCCCAGCTGCCCTGGAGGAATGCAGATCAGTCCAGCCCAAGCTGTCTCTCAGGTTTCTGTCTCTCAGGTTTCTGCCCGGGCTTTGGCCAGCAGGGATGTTGGCAGTAAACAAGGTGGGAGATGGGAGGCCAGGGCCTCCCCTGCCCCACCCTCCCCTCTCCGACCTCCCAGCTGCCCTGGGGCCAGACTCACCTGCTGCAGCATGAGCGCCTGTTGCTGCTGGAGCAAGGCTTGCAGCTGTGGGGGCGACAGGATCTGCTGCATCTGTTGGGGGGTAAGCATCTGCGGCGACATCATGGCCACCGACACGGGCACCTGTGGGATTGGGCCCCATTAGCCTGCTCCCCGCGCTCCCACCCACAGCATGGCAGTGTGGACCGGAGGGAGACGGCATGGGTTCAAATTCCAGCTCTGCCACCTACGAGCTGTGTGTCTTTGGACAAGTGATTTACCGCCCTGTTCTCCATGTCCTTGTCTCTGAAGGGAAGTAGCGCAGCGCCCACTTCTTAGGGCTCTCATGAGGCTTAATGAATGGATACTGAGAACAGAGCCGGGTACACAGCAGGTGCCCATGAGGGTGGGCTGTTACGGCAGGAGGCACTTTCTCCAGAGCACCAAGAACAGACCCCAGTGACACCAGTCGGTAGAACCCATATCCATGCCTTGCAGGCTTTCTCCCCCAGCGATGGGGACGGGCCACACCTAGCCATCCCCAGCTCTTGCTTGGTCCATTCCGAGAGCCCTATCTCTGAGGCGGGCCTGGCCGGAGGGCAGTCTGTGGCCCACATGGCATGAGGACCTGGGCTTTGGCTCGGATCCCATACACGTCACATACTGCGGCACGGCTGTCTGGAGGGCACACACAGAGGCCAGAGCTGACCCAGCGAGTGCCCGCCTGGGTGTATATAGGTTTAGTCAAGCCAAAGCGGGCTGGAAAAGAACACCAGGCAGGGAGTCAGGCGGCAGGCTGCTACTCCGAGCTCTGGACCGAATTTGCTGTGAGCCCTCCAGGGAAGTCACTTGCTGTCTCTGGGGTGTCGGTTTCCTCAAAGCCTAAACCAGGCACTGAACTACGAGAGAGATACGCCTTCTGGCAGGAACATGCAGGATTCTCAGAGTGGAGCAGCTCTCTATCCCCTGCCCTGGCTTAGGCCTCTGGAGGAGGCTCAGAGAACCTAGCTACCAGCAAAAGGTTCCTGGAAAAGCAAGAACATCATTCTTTTTTCTGTCCCACCTCCCCGAAATCCCCGGGCTTTGGGCGCTCATAGCCAGGGAGGCCCCAGTTGCAACACTGTCTTGTCCCGCTGTTTTGGCAGGACAGGTGCCCTGATGGGGCTCGGAGCCTGGCTTGTCTCATCTCCCCTCCCACTGCCAAGCCCTAGAAGTGCCCCCCGCCCCCCCTTCCCACACAGCAGGCACTCACTGAATGTTTGCTCCGCTGAGCTGAAATACCTTCCCCAGCAGATCAGAGGCCCCTCTGCAAGCCCAGGGGTGGGGAGGGAGGGGTTCGGGCAGCCTAGTCAGGGAGGAGTATCCTGCAGGGACTTGTCCTGGGCAGGATGTGACAGGTTATATCCTCAGGGGACTTGTGGCCCCTGTCACCTCTCCCTAGCCTCATGGGTTCTTGGGCAGGGGAGGAGGAGCTGGTGCCCTTCCAGATCCCTGCCAGGGGCAGGACTCAGCCTCAAGCCACCAGTTAGGGAATCCCCTGGCAGAAGAGCAGCTGGGGAAGTGTAGCGGACCCAGGGACATCGGGGGAAGTCCCAGTGCCCCCAATTCTTCTTACGCCCCACCCTGATAACTCGTGGCTGAGCCCCAGCCCTGGGCTTTTCTCCTTTATCCCAGCCAGCTCTGTGCCAACAGCCCTGGGAGGGGCATGCCCTAGCTCTTTAGCAGTGAACGCTCTGTGTGAATGAAGGCTCCCAGGGGCCTCTAATGAGGAACCTTAAGTGGCAGGGTTGGGATTCAAGCCCGGGTCTGTGAACTCCATGGCTCCTGGTGGTTTCCCTGTCTACACTGCCTTCCCTACCTCAGAGCAGATCTTGAGGAAGGTTAGGAAGTGTGGGTGGAAACTGAATTATCCAGGGAGCGGAGGGGTCGAGGAGGCTGGAGATCCAAAGGCCAAGCTCCCTTTTTACAACTGTATCTGGAGGAGACTCAGGAAAGCCAGGCCGTAGGGGTCTTCTGGTCCTCACTCTCGGAGGGGCCTGGGTGAGGGGGCAGACAGTGGCACAGACCCACACCCCTTGCGGAGCCAGCCTGTTTCCCTTGCTGGGTGCCCCTGAGACTGGGAGGCAAGGCTCAGCTGTCCTTTCTGTCCTCCTCCTCCTGTGGGGGTGCCCATCATGGTGGCAGAGAGCTCAGAGTCCTGGATTTCTGAGTCAGGTGACCTAGGTTCGACAGGGACTATTCTTTGAAATCAGCCTGCCTCACCTTTTCCACCCAGACCACTAATTGCTAATTACATGCCTTTAGGCACTTGGCTAAATTTCAGAGCAAATGGGGGTGGGTCTAATCGTGGTTATTGTTTTACAGATGAGAAAACTGAGACCTAGAGAACTTAAATAACCTGGTCTGTCCCCAAAGGGACAGTGGGAATAGGGGTAAATGAAAGTGATTTGTAGGCCATTAAATTCTATGCAAGTGTAGAGAAAACTTCTTTGTAAAACATTCTGGGTTTTCCTCTTTTCTTTTCTCCTCCTTTCCCTCTCCTGTCTCCATGACTTCTCCAACCCAAGAAGGCACCGCATGGCCAGCCGGGGTCCCTGAGGACCAGCGCCCAGGGCCTGTCCTTCTCATCCTGGGAGGACTGAACTAGAGATGGACACGGCCCAGGCAGGGAGACAGACCAGACACCCGGGGATCTTTCCAGCCATAGGGCTGTGAGTCACGGTGAGTGGCATGCAAAAAAGGATGTGGCATTTCCTTCCTTGGGGCTTTCCTATTTGGACACGGGGGAATGGAAGAGATGACCTTGGAAGGCCTCCCTGGCCCTCGCCATTCCTGCCAATTGGCCGAACAGCTGGCCGGAGAGGCGGCTGCAGAGATAGAGACGGATTACCTTGTGTGTACTTGTCCACCGGGGCCCAGGGGGTCAAGAAAGGTCAGGGAGGTGGCTGCCGCATGCTGAGCTCCTGAGCTGGCTGACCCCATCCCCCCATGCCCCTTAGGGTTCTGAGAACTGAGTTGGAGCTCCCCTGGTGTCCCCACTGACCCCTCTAGGATGTGCCAGGATAGACACTGTCAGCTTGTCAGCTCAGCAAGGCCTGTGAGTCACTGTCTGGAGAGTGGCCAAGGCAGCTAAATGCTTACTAAAGGCAGTGTGAGCCATGGGCTGAATGCCCACAGCTGCCTCCAGGCCCTCCCTCAGGGACCCTGCCCAGGCCCCTGGGTCCTCCACCCACCATGAGTACAGTGTGCTGGGCTGGGTGGCAGCTTACAGAGAGGAAGCTTGTCCGGGGGCTGAGGGTGGGGAGGCTGAGCACCGCACGGATGCAATTTGGTGCCAGAATCAAGGACCCAAACTCAAACTCTGAAGTGGGCTTTAGGATCTTGGCTCAAGTGGGGAGACAGGCTAGAGCTTGGTTTAGGTTAAACTCCCTTGTAGAAGACCAGAAGGAAGTCCTCAGACTAGTTCTGGGCTGGGGCTGCAGCAAGAAAGAAGTGATGGGGCACCAAGACAAATTTCCAGAAATTCTGGAAGGGTCAGCCTCAGGGGCGCTGAGAAGATGCTATGGAAGCTGGGCAGAGCTAAGGGCCCTGGCCCTAGCCACCGTCCCTTCTGCCCCCTAAAACTCCCAGCTACCTTTGCTGCCTTCGGTAACTGACCTCTCCCTGCCTGGGGCACAGGCCTGGGCACAAACTAGGCCATCTCCCGGCTGGAGCTCGAGACTAACATGGTTCTAGAAACTTCTGAAGCTGGCTCCAGGAGACGGGTGGTGAACACAGCTGGGAGGTGAGGCAGTCAATCCTGCCTTGCATTGGGGAGCAGAGCAGTGTCATGTGGGGGCCACCAGAAATAAGTGGCCATCTATCTTTCTTCATTAACCACTTTATTCACAGAGAAGCAATTTGTAGGCCCTGGACCCCACTCAGGGACAGAAGCTCCACCTCCTTAGAGACTGTGAACCAAAGATGGGGATAAGAGGCAAGGAAGGTATCCATGGTTGGAAGAGGAAGAGGGTCAACAGTTGGAGCACCAGGCTCCTGGGGAAGTTCAGACACGGCCCCATGAACCCCATCTCCCTGAACCCAGAGCATCATCCGGCCGCGGCTCTGCACCTGGGGACTACTGGTGTTCACTGCTGTGCACAGTGTAGGCATTCAAGTCTAAATTCTGGAGCTAGTTGTTTGGGGTCAAATCCTGGCTCTGTCCCTTATTAGCTGTGTGTCTCTGGACAAGTGACCTAACCTATCTGGGCCAAGGTCTCCTCATCTGCAAGATGAGGCTAATAATAGCATCGCTAGACCCCACAGGATTGTGAGGATAAAGGGAGACAAATGACACTTGTAAAGCACTTAACGTCTGCCCCATGGTAAGCACTCTGTAAATGCTGTTAGTTTCATTAGTACTGAGCAAGTATTTGATGAATGGATGAATCAGTCAATGATTCAGAGGAGGAAGCAAGGAGAGAGGAGGCCTGAGAAAAGGATCATTTGCTCTGTCTCTCTAACCAAAACCTCTGCCTCTTACTCTAAGCCATCCAGGGCTGATCTCATTTTGGGTGAGGGACTCTCCTGAGGAAGATTCCATAGCCTCCCTCCCCTTCTCCATTATTTCAGATTTCCTACCCCTCATAGCCAGCTGTAAAGTCCTTCTTGATGCCTGACCTGAGTCCCTCCAACTACCATCAAGCTCCTGCCCTCCTGCCTTGGGTCAGCAGGCCCTCTCTTGCTGGGGGAACAGGAATGCTGCTCCCTGCTCTTAGAAGGGGGTGTGAGGCCGGGCCCAGCCAGGGTGAGGACGACTCAGAGCAGTAGCCTAAGGGCCATTTCAGACCCAGGGGAGATGGGGGTGTGGGGGGGATCCCTAATTCCAAGAGGCCCAGTCCTGACACCACATGGGCACGAGAACCTTCTACATCTTTCCAGCATGAGAACTTTCTCTTCTTCCAATTATTAACCTTCTGGACTGGGTTCTCACTTCTCCACCCAGACCACTACCCATTTTGGTCCAACTCCTCCTCCTTGAGGGCTGTCTCAATAGGTTCAAGACTTCTAAAAGAGGTCCACTGCTCAGGCCCCACATCCGTCAGTCACCTTGAACTTCTTCAAACCATTTTCCAAACATTAAGCTTGTTTGACACAAGACTCAGATACTCCTCAGAGTCTGGAATCTGCCACTCCCCCGCCCCACCCCAGGACAAAGCCTAGTCCTGGGTCCTTCTCGGAGCACCCAGCACCTCATCCCTGCTGTCCTCTTCACTTCCCTCCTTCCTTCAGCACCCCACCCCCACAAACTCCAGAGCTTCTCGCTCAGGATCGGGCTCACCCTTCCTCCCCTAGATAAACTTCCTTTCAAAGCCCTGCTTAATCCTCTCCCCAATTCCAAGCCTCCCCTGCTGCTGTGGGGAGGGGTGGGGGAGCGAGGAAGGAGGGCTGCATGGCCCAGGGGGAGGGGAGCTGGCTGCCCGGATCGTGACCCACCCGACTCAGACCGCAATTCTCCCAAGTTCTTTGTGACACAAAAGGTAAACAGAAGGCCCGGCTTCCCCACCCCCCCACCTCCCACAGATCTCCCCTCCCCCCAGCCAGCCAGATGGGCCGGCAAGCTGGGGGAAGGGAAAGGGGGAAAGAAGGGCAGATTGTGCAAAGGAAAACAAAAGAGACAGAGAGACACCAAGAGACAGGAAACTGGGGGAGACAGAGAGAGTTGGTGGGTGAGAGGTGGGGAGGGGGCATGTGGTGACCTCAGCATCTAAGAAAGAGCCCAGGAGAGAGGGACAGACCAAGTGACCCACTGGGATGGAGAAACAGAAACCTGAGAAGGGACGGGGACCCAGAGGGCAGAGCCAGGGAAGGGAAGCAAGCGGGAGGTACCCAGAGAGGGCGAGAGCTGAACGCAGACACAAACTCTGAGCCACACACACAAAGAGGCTGAGCACAGGAAGGCCTGGGCGATCAGGTGGAGACAAGAGAAAGTGAAGTTTCTTCACCGCACCCCTGCACTGACTGCATTTGCTTCTGGAAAGCTGCCTACTTTGTGGCACTGGGGACTGGCCAGAGCCATCCTCCAGCGGGCCCGTCCCCGGGGCCAAGACCACGCTCCCCACCCGGCCTCCCCTGCCCCCTCCTCACCTGCACGGCAGAGGCCGACTGCTTGCTGTCATTGTTGCCTGGGGAGCTCAGGCCGGAGGCCTGCTGCAGCAGGAACTGCCTGGCCACCTGGAGAGCCTGCAAGAGAGGGGCCAGGTCAGCTGTCAGCGCAGGGCCTACCTGCTCCAACAGTGGCCTGAACGGCCTGGAGGAGGCAGGGGGCCGTCAGGGGACAGTGCAGCATCCAGGTTTTAGGGAGAGTCTGGGGGCAGTAAGGCGGAGGAGGCCAGGCTAAGGTGGAAGGTCTCAGGGGTGAGTGAGAGGGTCACAGGGTCCACTTGGACTTGGCAGTACGCCTAAATGTAGGAGTCCCTGAGAGGAGCTGCCAGGGTGTGGGGATAAGAGCCTACAGGGGCCTCACTCTGGGACCTGAGAGGTTTTGTTGGGACTTAATGGGGGCAGCAAATGGAAGGGGCAGTGGCCACAAAAGGATCCCAGGGGAAAGTACAGCAGATGGGACTCCAGGTACTAATACTAGGTACTACTTGCTGAGCATCTACTATGCGTCAAGCCCTTTACACACAAGATCTCATCGACTCCTTCCTGTGAGGCTGTGAGGTAGGGGTTATCAGTTTCATTCTACAGCTGAGGAAACAGTCTCCAGGAGGTAAAGTAACCTGCCCAGGATCACACAGCCAGGAGGTGTCAGAGAGAGGATCTGAGCCCAGGAAGCCTCGGCCGGGTGGCTGGTCTGGAAGCAAAGGGAGTAGCATTCACTTGGAGTCACTGCTCCCAGCTGAGGGGGATGAGGGGGGAGTGTCAGGGTCTGAGCACTGTGTGACTTTCTGAGTCTAGGGATCTGGGTGCAGGGCCTCATGGTACGGGGGAATTCGGTCAAGTCCTCAAGGATGTGTCTGAACCTCCAGTGAGTAACTCCGACCTCACTGTGGTGGTCTGGGCTCAGAGGCCCCAGTGGCTTGGACTGGACTGGGAGTCAGCAGGGTCGTAGCAGTGGGAGGCGTGTGGAGTTTGTAGGGGGAGCAGCTCCAGCCCATCCGTGAGCCTGGAAGGTGAGCAGTGAGAGGTCTGGTGGGAGAGTGGGGGGTCAGGGAGGGAGGCCCAGGAAGTTCTCCGTAAGGACGGCCAAGCCCTCCATTGCCACTCTGGGTCAGTGTGGGGTTCAGAGGCAGGGGATGTGGGGACCTGAACTGAATCCACATTCCAGGAGCACAAAACCTGTCTTCCCCCATGTTCCACCAAGATCTCCTTTGGCACCCCAGGCAGTTGCGTCCAGGCCTCTGGCAGGGCGCTCTGGCATCAGATAGGCCTGGGTTTGAATCCCAGTTGTGCTGCTGACCAGCAGTATGACCTTGGGCATGTTATGCTCTCCCTGTGCTTCAGTCTCTTCTGCAAACCCGGAACACTATCCATCTCTGAAACACCAGGGGGACGAAAGGACCCAAGCTTGGCACCAAGGTGGCATCGAGAAGTGTCCATTCCCTTCCCTTCTTGGGAATGTGGGTTCTCTCCATGGGCTCAGCCAGCCGGTGGCCAGCACGGCCTCCTGCCCAGTGTACCTATGTAATGAAGCGTGCTCATTGCGGCTCCCTCACCTCTGTCCACACACACACACACAC